CCAAACCTCCTAACGACCTCCCCCAGCAGTTTCATGTAGATATTGAATAGCATGGGGGACAGTATAGAGCCCTGAAGAACCCCATGACGCAACCACTATGGATCAGAGCTACTGTCCCCCAGCACAACCTTCTGGATCTGATCAGTCAGGTAGGAGTGCAACCACCATAAAACGGTGCCTCCCATTCCAGCCAATCTGTCCAGAAGGCCCCCATGGTCGATGGTGTTGAAAGCCACTGACCCCCATGGTCGATGGTTTTGAAAGCTGCTGAGAGGTCCAGGAGAATCAACTGGGTTAGGGTTAGGGTTAGGGTTAGCCATGACGGGCAAGGGTCGAATTGCGTAGTGGTGGCATGAACCGATTTCTGTTGGATTTTACAAAACTCTCTTCAAAGTCTGCTAATATCTTCTGGGTTAGGATTAGGGTTAGCCATGATGGGCAAGGGTTGAAGTGCGTAGTGGTGGCATGAACCAATTTCTGTTGGATTTTACGAAACTCTCTTCAAAGTCTGCTAATATCTTCTTATTTTGAATAGTTGCTTGTGAAATGTGTCATTCAGTATAATATGTGTAAAAAAGGAGATATGTTTGTTTGCTTGTTTTTAAAGTAGCACACTGAGTCAAACAATCATCGTCTTGAAAAAAATTGAACTGGGGCAAGCTTGAAATTACTCCTCTTCTCTCATTCCCATGCTTACTTGCAATGATGTTACAGTCCAATGCATTTTGAAGATGTCAAATTGGGAAAAGTTGGTCATAAACATGCCGATCCTTTCTTTGCCTCCCACCTCTTCATGTGTCAATCATTTCATCCTCTCCTTGTGACCTTCAATTTAATTGGTGTCCTCCCTGTAGAGTGTGTATGTTTAGGCCTTTTTCATGGGTATCTCAAAAATGGCCTGCCTGAATACTAGGTCTGTCCCCTAGAGTACCATATCCCTTGAACAGCAGTATACTGTACTCATTTTAAGAACCATTTTTGATGTTTCCCCTTTCTTGCCTAGTGAATCCATCCGTCAAACAACAATATTACGATAACATCCGCTGGATTCAGGAAGCCAGGAGACACAATTTGGTATGTGGACCCAGCAAGCTGAAACAATGCTCAAAGTCAGTACAAGTGTTTTTAAAACCTTTCAAATGGAAGTGGGTTTTTTTTCTTCCCAAGCAAAGACCCATTTTTATAACCTTTAACCTGGCATGCCGTCTCATGGCCTTTTGGGGCTCTAGCCTCAGAAATCTCTGTAGACACAGGCATCAACCTCTATGATTGGATGGTAAGATGAGCCTTCCAAATTAGTCATAGCAGCTGATTTCAGACATCCTGTGCCTAAGGGAAATAGCTAAACGCCCTGGGACACCCCCGTTGTCCGGCTGTGCCTTGCGTTCATAAACACAGATCCAATATCAGCAAGTCTTTTTATTTCATTGTGAGTTGAGCTATGTATTCAGTTTTGCATAGATACCCCGTGTGAATTTCTAGTGTGAAGGCGTTATTGGGTGGTAGGAAGCTAGGATATCGGATATGCAGTTTCCAAATACATCCTACAGAACTCCATTCTGTTTGCCTTCATGGAAAACATTTCATTCACATGGATCACAACAACAGTAAACCACTAGATTAATACATTTTAAAAGTCAGAAACTCACTACAGGACATATGCTTTTTATCCAACAGTAAGAAAACAGCTAATACTGTACTGGCCTGTGGTTCTTAAACTGATTATCCGTTCACCAGTTTACAAACTACATCTGAGGAGTTTTTGGGTTACAAGATTTCGGCAGTCCAAAAACTCTTCAGATGTAGTTTGTTTTCATTAAGTGAACATGATGAGGGTACATAGATGGAAATCCTTAGCAATGGAAAATGCATATTTCAAAATTCATTTTGCTCGCTTTTCCCATTAAATACTTGTTCCAGGCATTGGGACTATGAAGATAAACCAGGAAATCTATTATTTCTCTGTTCTAGGTTGTAGGATCTCAAGCCAGAATATTGTATTCTGATCAGAAAGGCCGTGTCGCTATTGCAATAGCTATTAATCAAGCCATCGCTGAAGGAAGGATTAAGGTAAAGTCTGCATTCTCTTCCCATACGTTGCAACAGCTAATTTTGTTCGGACATGTGAAATTGATCGTATGGAAGAAGATAGATGGAAAGAGCCATATGGTCCAGCTATCCAGTTTTTAAAAAAGTTAACACCAACTTGATAGGATCAGAGAAGATAAGAGGTAATGATTTTTCTTATAAAAATACAAACCATCTGAAGTCAATGAAATGAGTTTGGCTCTAATATTAACCATATGTTGTGCAAATATGACATTTTGTAAGACTTCTGAACCTTGCTCTTTGTTCTGAGCACAATAGCAACGACCCATTGCATACTTTTTACAAAATGTTAATTCATGGAAATGTTTCTTGCTTTTTTTCAGTACAGAAATGCATCACAAAACTCAAGTGTTTATTCTGTCCATGGACATAATTAGGGATCCTTGATATGACCTGTTTGTATTGAGGACTACATGGTGCCACATCCCTTGGGAGATGTCCCTTCTCACTTTCATCATGCTAGCGAGTTCCACATTACCCAAGTAGTCAGAGGCACCTTTCTGGCACTTTCACCCCAAACTTTGTCATCTCTTTCTTAGTGCTAGTAGGTTAGGTGGCAAATACTGCCAAACTTCTTAAAAGTATCCCTTTCATTGTGCCATCCAGTCCCTGCCTGCTTGTCCCAGTTTATATGCTTATTACAGTGTGACCCTGGTATCCATGGGATCAATATCCAGCTTCACTGATTCACAGTTTGAAAATATTAAAAACATTAAAATAAAAAGATCCAGATGTTTTTTCAACATTTTCAACATGTGTTACCAGAACCGGCTACTAGAGGGAGACAGAGACCATGCTATGAATACTTGTTAGCAAAGAATATATTGCATGCTCTCTGGCTACTTCTAGTGGCCAGTTGATACCATGCTATCTATCTATCTATCTATCTATCTATCTATCTAGCTATCTATCTATCTATCTATCTATCTATCTATCTATCTATCTATCTATCTATCTATCTATCTATCTATCCATCTATCCATCTATCCATCTATCCATCTATCCATCTATCTATCTATCTGTGACAAACCCAGACCTACTGGGATCTGCCACACGTTAACTAAGCTGCCACCAACCATTCCCTATAAGAAGTCACACAGACCAGGGATGGATTTTTAATCCATCCATCCATCCATCCATCCATCCATCCAGTGGTTGCTATTATCCATGATTTTCAGTATCTGCGGCGGGTCTTCGAACCAATCTCCAGCAGATATGGAGGCCCTATTTTATATTTAGTTGGTGAGTGAAATGGTCTCCTTAAACACTGGTGGCAACCTATTCTACTTCTCCTCCTGCATAGATTGTAGATATGGATATTCTGTTCTCTACTTCTTGACTACTAAGTGTATTTCTTAAAGTTACATTTAAAAACAAATAATGAGAGTTTTAATGTATTCTTGAAGGCTTTCACGGCCGGGATCTGATGGTTGTTGTGGATTTTTCGGGTTCTTTGGCCGTGTTCTGAAGGTTGTTCTTCCTGACATTTTGTCAGTCTCTGTGGCCAGCATCTTCAGAGGACTGGAGTTTTATTCAGGAATGACCAAAGAGGTGTTATTTGGGATGTGCGGGTAAATGGAAGAAAAGGAAAGATAATCTTTGAGGTATTTAAACTGAAGAGAAAAACACCACAAGCTCTATATTAATTTACTTTATTCACACATACTTCACCCTAGACCATTCTCCTACATCCAAACTCAAGACTAACTGTTCACAGACTCTCTAACAGAGTTCTCTTGATTATTCAGGAAAAGACTCTCTGACTTACTAACTGCTTAACTGCCACATCACACGGCATTACTGCAGATTCCAAACACTCCAACCAAGCAAGTGCATGGCTGGCTAGGATGGGTGAAATCATCACACACGGTGTCAGTTATATCTGGATCTGTGATATAAACCTGGTGAACTAATGTGAGCACTTTGTGCTTAGGCCTCAGTCCTCCAAGTGCAAAAGGAAACATGGGTGTGCAATTCTACACTCTCTGTTGGAGTGGCCTGTTTCAAAGGCTGTGGCTTGGCCTGTCCAAAGCTTGGAAAAGGTAATGTTTGAATTACAATTCCCAGAATCAATCAGCTATCATTGTCAACTGCCATGCTGCCTTGCAATTCTACACTCTCTATTGGAGTGGCCTGTTTCAAAGGCTGTGGTTTGGCCTATCCAAAGCTTGGAAAAGGTAATGTTTGGTAATTACAATTCCCAGAATCACCCAGCTATCATTGTCAACTGCCATGCTGCCTGGGGGATGATGGGAGTTGTACTCCTCAAAATTAAACTTGTACTAGGCTTGTCCCAGAGCTTGAAAATTCTAGGGACCTCACCTAAGAAGGTTTTAGCTGCAAAACTCCAACCGGGACCATAGAATAGAGATCCTGAGGTGAGGACGATGTGTGGCTACAACTAGGCCCCAACCTCCTGCAATTTACACCTACCCAAACTACCATGTGGATTAGCCTTGAGAAGGCACTTATGCTTCTGAAAGGCAGCATCATAATCAACAGGCCCAAAGATGTTCAAGCACCTAAAAGAGAAATATACAGCACATCCACCACCTACAATGTTTCCACAGCATCACCATTCCAATCAAAAACAAGCACTCTTCGCATTAGGTCTTGCACTGAGGGGACAGCATCAGGGGAGTCAGCTGTCGCCTGCATCTGCTGTCTTCTCCGTGGTAGAATAATGTTCAGCAGGGTACGGAGGAGGAGGAGGATAATCTGTTAATCTTGGCAGAAGGTCAGGCTCAGAAGTTGTGTGTCTCCTTCTGTTGTGTCTGCCCTGTTCCTCCCTCATTAGAGACCGGTGCCAGCTGGCATGGGCTGTTCCGAGGGTTGATTAAAGGGAACGTTGACAGTGACTTTTCCCTATCCTTACCCCCCACCCCAAAATTAAAGCTTCCCTGTATGTACGCCTCATGTAGTTCATTCTGAACTGTTGTCTGAAAAAAAAACCTTTTAAAAAGGCAATTGTTTAATGAAGGGGGAACTTCATGACATCTTTCAAGAAAGTCTCAATATAATGGTTTATGATACTGTACACAAATAAATACTGACTTTGTGGTATTCTCTCTTAAGGCTGCAAAAGGCTGAGGAATGGAATGATGGACAAGATGAAAGATATATCACTATTAATCATTTAATTATATTTGTGAACAACTGTTTTAAGGAATAGTTCAGGGAGTAATGAGTGTGAGGATAATTTAGGCAGATAACATATTTAACTCTTCTTTAATCTCTCTCTCTCTCTTTCTCTCTTTCTGTCATTCTATTCATGAGTACTCAAGACAGTTTAAGGCAGAATAACAAAAGTATAACATGCAAAAATCATAGAAGCTGAAAAAAGGAATATAAAATACAGATGTTACAAAGAGAGAAAAATTGAGAACCATGTAAAGGAACAATAACAATAACAATAACAATAACAATAACAATAACAATAACAATAGATGATGATGATGATGATGATGATGATGATGATGATAACAGCAAATGTTTGTGAATAAAATGATGAAACTGTGTCACACCTCATATGCAAATGTCTAAAGTTTTCACAGATTACAAAGTTAGACATGATAGAGTGGCAAAGATCGTGCACTGGTAATTATCCAAAAAACATAACTTGCCAGCCTCCAAAAACCCATGGGAACAATAGGTAGAGAAGGTGTCAGAAATGATGTCATCAAGATCTTGTGGAATGGATCCAAACGGATAGCCACCTTGAACATAAAACATCAGACATAGTAGTAATAGAATGAAGAAGTGTCTGGATCATTGACGTTGCAATTCCAGGGGATGTCAGAGTTGAAAATAAAAAAACCGGAAAAACTAACAAAGTACAGACACCTGGCGATTGAAATATCTCACTTCTGGAAGAAACATAGTTCAGTGGTCCCCATAGTCATTGGGGCTTTGGGTACAATATAAAAAAATGTCACACAGTACTATAAACAGTTGCAAATCTTAGAAATCACACCGAGGTCCCAAAATAATGGCAATATTAGGAACATCATACATACTGCACCAATATTTAACAGATACTTCATTTTTGTTAAAACTTGTATCTGTTATATAGTACCAGTCTATGTTTTTATACTTTGGACTGTACCTGGAGTTCTTGAATAATAATAAAAATGTGCCATCAATATATCTGTGATCAAGTCAATTCTGACTTATGAGAGCCCTTTTCAGGGTTTTCCAGTTAGAGAATACTCAGAAGTGGCTTACCATTCAAGAGAAGCATTAATAATCAAAAAGCTGAACAAAGTTGGATCTTGGGGAAAGAAACCTTTCAGGGATTACAGCTCCTAGAATCAGCTACTGAACAAACAGGGATTTTGAAAGTTGTGGTCCCGAACACTAATTTTTCCAGAAAACCCTACCATTTGTATCAGACATCTAAAGGGCAATAACAAGGGAACCTAAGTTTCCTAGCACAATGCTCAGGAGGGCAAAGGAAGGCCAGAAGATGCAGCACCAAGGATAGCTCCCGGTGAGCACTTTGCTGAAAAATGGCTTTAGACAGTCCTCTTATACTGCAAGTCTAGGACAATTCTCTCCAGACTCCACCCCTTCCCACCCATCAAGAGATGTTAAAGGTACAGGTCCCTGGCATGAAGTCTGACAGTTTGCTGCCTCTCCAGGAACTCATTGGACATACAGCTCAAATTGGCATACCAGCTGTGATTTGAGAGTCCCTGTCACTCATAGAGAAAGGGGCCAAGAGATACCAATGATGTTGTGGCTATGGAGGCCTTGTGTCTGGAGTGGAGGTGTTCGGAATGACAGGTTTTGGGATGTTTGGCCTCACTGGCAGAAGAGTTTCAATTCCTCTGTAGAGATCTGTGAGAAATCACATGGCTGATGATTTTTAATAAAGAATTTGCCTGGTCTCTGTCTCCCAGATGCAGTAGGCAGCTAGAAAGCCTTACGATTATGGGTTTGCGTTATATTCTTCAAAAGAAAAAATGTGCTTAACAATGCACTTTACTCAACAAACACGCATTATGAAAGATGCAAAAATAAGCCTGCAGACATTCCTAGAATTTACATTTATAAAATGTGTTCACTAATGGAGCATGCACCCATAAATACCTCCATTTAAAAATTAAAGGGTTTAAAAATTAAATTTCAGTTTCTGTTTTAATTTCACTTTATCATTATATGTATGAATTGTAGCTGTGGATTCATAATAATTTGTATGCAAACTGATGCAAGATTTCATAAGATTAATAATAATTGTTTGCTGTCAAGTGAATTCAGACTTATGGAGACCCTTTACAGGGTTTTCCGAGCAGTGAATACTCAGAAGTGGTTTACCATTCCCTTCTTCTGAGGGTTTCCTGGGACTGTGAAGTTTGCCCAAGGCTGCACAGGCTGGCTGTACTTGTAGGAGGCACAGTGGGGAATTGCACTCACAATCTTTGAGTCTGCAACCAGATTCCTAAACTATTTTGCTATCCAGCCAGCAATCAAGTGGTATATAATTATTGTAAATAAATAAATGATTTCAAGAGAGAAACTTTTAAAAAGAGGAACACTCTGTTTTCTCTTTCCCTTTTCCTTTCCAGGCACAAGTTGTTCTTAGTCGAGACCACCATGATGTAAGTGGAACTGACAGTCCTTACCGAGAAACTTCAAATATCTATGATGGATCCGCATTTTGTGCAGGTCAGCTGAATAGCTCTAGGGTTGTCTCATTTTAGTGATCAGTATGCCTTATGGATGAAACAATACAGTGGTGCCCCGCATAGCAACGATAATCCATTCTGGAAAAATCATTGCTATCCGGATTCGTTGCTATGCGAAAAGAAAAAGCCCGTAGGAATGCATTAAACCCCATTTAATGCATTCCTATGGGCTTAGAACTCACCGTTATGTGAAAATCCTCCATATGGCCACCATTTTTGCTGCCCGGTATGCGAGGAATCCGTGTGAAAACACAGCGGGCGGCCATTTTTTCCGGCGGCCATTTTGGAACTGCTGATCAGCTGTTTTTAAAACATCGCTATGTGAAAATCAGTAAGCGAAACAGCTTACCGATCATCGCAAAGTGATTTTTTACCATTAGAAACATTGTTATGTGATTGCTTTTGCGATTACAAAAATCCATTGCTATGCGGATTCGTCGTTAACCAAGGTGCTCGTTAAGCGAGGCACCACTGTAAATATCAGCAAATGTTAGAAGACCCAAGGGAACTGCAGCACCTTGGAGAGTAACTGGGTCATTGAGGTCTGGGATTTAATAAATAATTGCTTGCTTTGTCAGAGGCAGGAAGTACACTGAGAAGATGCCTCTTAGTATGTATTGATAGCTTAATACTATAAGTTTTACCTATCATAGTTGTAAACTACCCAGAATAGTGAATTGCACTAATGGAATGGAATGGAATGGAATGGAATGGAATGGAATGGAATGAATGAATGAATGAATGAATGAATGAATGAATGAATGAATGAATGAATAGCTGGTGATGGAAAAACATATATGGGGTAGGGAAAAATATTACCACAGGAGCAACAGGACTAGAGGAACTCAATGTTTGCAGAAGTGAAAAACAAAGAAAGAAAGCAAACAAAAAAGAAATCTAAAGTTTAAAAGAAATCTAAGGGTTATCCCCAAAAGATCCTGGTGGTGACTGGCCATTCTTAGTGATCACAGAATGCTGATTGCCTGTTAAGGGAACAAGATAGAAAGCAAAGACTGAAAATAATAAGTGAGAGTAGCTGGAATTCTGACCAGGAAGAACATTTTGTAGCAGGGAACCCTCTCTATCCTACCAGTTTATAGCGTAAGCCTTATTGTCCCATTAACATCAGAATGATCAGATTCTCGAACGGCCAGGTACAAAGGAGGGCACAACACTGCCACTTATGCTGAAGAGACTATTTCATTTGATGCAGCTTTTCTCACTTATGAATGAGAAGCTGCATCTACCGGAAAACCTAAGACTCTTCAACAACATTGACACATGTCCTCCTGGATAAGGAGCAAGACTGAGCAACTGAACTGTTGCTATAAGAGCTGGTGGTTGCATCACTATTTGCACAGGGGCTGTTCTTTTGATAGTAAAGATAACGACTGCCTTGGGCTTTTTTTCAGAAAATGGACAATGGTCAAGAATCCATAGTGTTCCAATTTTTAAGCAGTTGAATTTTAACCATGTGATGTAGCTACACTTTGATTTCTGAAGAGGCATTTATCAATTTACACACATACACAGATTGAGGGAGAGAGAGAGAAAGAGAAAGAGAAAGAGGAGGAGGAAAATTGCCTTATGAGACTTTCAACAAGCTTTGGATAAGATGAGGTAGCTTTGTGCCAAGACGCTAGTTGACATACTTTTTTGAGAGAAGTTGGGGACAGGTGGGATTAGACTTACAGGTGCATCTTTTCATGTTTGGTGGATTGAAAATGCTAATTGTTTTTTCTGGTTGGGGAAGGAAAGTTAAATAGAAAAGACCCCGTCCCAATAAAAAGAATTGCTCCTTAAAGTGAAGCTTGGGAAACAGAGATAAACTGAATAAAACGTTGTCAAAAGGCTTTAAAACCACAGACATATGAAGACACAGGATGCAGCGGTTCTACTATTAAGCTAAAAGATCTGATCTTCCACTGCCTGGGATCAGATGAATAAATAGGTGACTAGCAGGCTGTGAGGAAGAACAGCCACAATGGATAGCTACTGCCAGGTTGCTCATCTGCTTTATCTGAGAGGAAGAAAGCAGGCGAATAAATAAAAAATTAATACTAGACATTGCTTGGTTACTTGACCCAGTTGACATCCTGTGAGTGCTCACAATAACTCATAGTTAAAGATTGCAGGGGAAAAGCTGTAATGAGGGTGAAAGAGGAGAGTGCAAAAAACGGCCCAAAGCTCAACATCAAAAAAACGAAGATCATGGCCACTGTTCCCATACCCTCCTGGCAAAGAGAAGGGGAAGATATGGAGGCAGTGACAGATTTTACTTTATTGGGCTCCATGATAACTGCAGATGGAGACAGCAGCCATGAAATTAAAAGACGCCTTCTTCTTGGGAGGAAAGCGATGACAAACCTCGATAGCATCTTAAAAAGCAGAGACATCACCTTGCCAACAAAAGTCCGCATAGTCAAAGCTATGGTTTTTCCTGTAGTGATGTACGTAAGTGAGAGCTGGACCATAAAGAAAGCTGACCGCCGAAGAATTGATGCTTTTGAACTGTGGTGCTGGAAGAGGCTCTTGAGAGTCCCCCTGGACCGCAAGGAGAACAAACCTATCCATCTTGAAGGAAATCAACCCTGAGTGTTCACTGGAAGGACAGATCCTGAAACTGAGGCTCCAATACTTTGCCATCTCATGGGAAGTGAAGACTCCCTGGAAAAGACCCTGATGTTAGGAAAGTGTGAGGGCAAGAGGTGAAGGGGACGACAGAGGATGAGATGGTTGGACAGTGTCATCGAAGTGACCAACATGAATTTGGCCCAGCTCCGGGAGGCAGTGGAAGACAGAAGGGCCTGGCGTGCTCTGATCCATGGGGTCACGAAGAGTCGGACACGACTAAACGACTAAACAACAACACAGTCCATGAAAGCATATTTCAAATAAAACTTGCAAGTTTTGAAAATACCATAAGGTTCTGTGTTATTTTCACTCACAGTTGATGGGAACTCGTGATGGCTGCACTGTAAGTTGCACCTCCCCCACCACAATATGTAGGTCTCTGACAATATTTCCAATCTGGCAGACCAATCTGCTGGCATCCAATTTACTTTGGTTGTGTGTTGACAGATGGCATGGGAGCCCTCTTGCAGCAGAGTGGAATATCCATCCCATGTGCCTAAGACAGCCTTGCAGAAGGTCCCATTTGGTCCACCATCTTCCTGCTGGCCTTATCCCTGAACAGTGACTATGGCATAATGCCTGGGCGGGGGAGAGAGACTTTATAAAACGCAGAACTAAAGCTTTTGCCATAAATAGGCTGGTTGTATTCGTTTTCCTTTAACCTAAGAACTCCTGGGCTTGTGTTGTTCCTTTTAAAATGTTTTTTTTTAAATATTTACATGAGAGATTTTTAAATGCTTTAAAAATATTTTTAATTCTGTCTTTAACATTGATAGATGTTGGATTGTTTTTACTATAGTTTTTATGATGCTTTAACATTATGATTATTGTATAGTTTTCATACCACCTTGGGACCCCTGTGGGGAGAAGGACAGCACCAATTTATATAGTGATATATATATATAAGTAATTCCTTTCCTTTCTTTCCTCAAAGATATGGCTGTCCAGAATTTTGTAGGCGATGCGTTCAGAGGAGCGACCTGGGTAGCCTTACACAATGGTGGCGGTGTTGGCTGGTAAGGAAAATTTGTCTTTGAAAGGAAAAGAGGTCTTGTCTTGTGACTGTGAGTCCTGTGTAGGAACAGGTAGGTGGCAAAAAGGACAGGCAGGGGAGAAAGCAGCGAGGATAAGGCAAACAGGTTTCAGCAGGGGAAATCCTATGGGGCTTCTCTTGCAAGCCTGGTGCCTTTCAGTTGTTATGGACTGCTGCTTCCCTCATGCTGGCTGGAGATATTGGCCATGTAGTGCAAGACTACATCTCAAGGGAAACACACTGATATCCATTGGTTGGTAGGGCATGCTTTCGTAGGAGCGCCCAGTGCTGCTATTACGAACTTTGAAAGCACAGTTCATAGGAAACTGTTCCTAGCAATCATCATTAAGTTAATGAAAGCTCAGTGGAAATGGTGCTTTTACAGAACGCTATTATTGCCATTTACAAAATGCAGGGATGTATCACCTGTACAGAGGATCACTAAAACCTTAATCATCTTGACTGTTCAGAGTGGAGTAGCCAGACTTTAAAAACAAACAAACCAGCAACTGGTAATGAGAAGTTTCTGCCTTATTGAACAATTGGCAAATGTGGAAGACAGGCCATCTCAGGCACAAGAATATAGGGCTCAACACAAACTTCCTCTTGCCAACATCCTGTTTCCATGGGTAAAGACTGTAAGAACTTGAGTTCAGCCCAAGGTTCCCCACATTGCTGTTCATGTGGCAAACATGTCCAGCTGATGCTTTTCTAACCGTGGGGCTGTAGTTAGGATTCTTACTTCTAACGACTCAGTACAGTACTTCTTTATTCTCCTAAATATGGAGGTCAGGACTGTATGTAGCAGATCTACTGGAAATGCTCATTTATTGTGAAACATGTTGATCATTTAAGGCAGCCTCTGTGAGCTACATTTTTTTAAAAAAAGTTCTGCCTCTGCCCCCTTTGGAAAACATTTAACAGCATCCTGCCTGATTAAAGTAGGCTTTTGAAACAGTTCAGGCATACCCAGTTCTTGACTGAGGCTTAATGTTACATGATCCTCTTTATGTTAATTTGCAGATCTTTCAAAAAAGTCCCAAATGTGTTTTGAAAGCAACCTTAACATTTTTTTTTGCAAAAAGGCAAATTCTTAAGAGAAGTGTGTGTGTGTGTGTGTGTGTGTGTGTGTGTGTTAAACAGAGCACACTTCCAACCTCATGTTCACTTGCACAGGCATTCAGAGTGTCAGTGGATGAGATGTATTTCGAATCCCCTCAAGCTGCATTTAAAACTGTGACCTTTGGACCCCAATATAACATGCCCATATGCTAAAATGCAGCAAGAGATTGCTGATACAAAACAGGTCAGATGCCAGCCATCTTTGATTCCCCTCCTACCCCCAATTAGCTTTCCAGTATGGTTTTTTTTTGGGGGGGAGGGGGGGAACAACAACAGAGAATGCCCTGTTCCAAGCCTCTTTCAACTAAGCATTGAACCTCCATGATTTCCTTCCTTCCATCAGCATGATGACCTGCCAGCCTTTACTTAAGAGCAGTCATAGCATGTGAACTGAACCCTGGGACAGTCATCTGAGGCCCAAATCAAAAGAATGAGAAAGAGAGCCCCTAACCATAGGGTGGGTGAGGGCTTGCTTTGCTGAAGGGATGTTATATACTTTATCTGCTCAGGGAGTTTTCCTCTCTCACACAACAACAATCCGCTGCTCTTAATCTTTATAATAGAATCATAGACATAATCAGTGGTTAGAGAGCTGCAGGAACATTTTATGGAAGCACATGTTCATCCCTGACGGGAGGGGGAAAATACCCTACTGCTTTATTGCATTGCTGTCCTGCAGGGACGGTCCCTTCAGATCTTCTGCCCTTCTGCTGCCCTGTTCCCATGTGTGCTGGTTGCCAGGGAGAGTGTAGAAGCCATGCAGGTTACATTTAGTCATTCTCCTGTGATCGTGTGGAATTCTCTGAGAATAAAATAAGAGAGACCTTTAAAAAGCTGCCTTCAGCCAAGTCATACTATGGGTCCATTGATAGCAGAACAGTTGGCACTAACTGGTAGTAATTCTCCAGGATTTAAGGCAGGGTAAGAGTGTTTCCTGATCCTCTATAGAAATAGCAGGCATTGGACCCGGGTGTCTCTTCCGAATAATAGCACTGTACCATTGATGCTGCCCTTGGATGGATTAAGCCCACAAGAATAGTTGAGAGTTTCATTTGCTTCGTTTTTTATAAGAACAGATGAATGCATACATTTCTCCATAAAGGAAGAATGTTAAAGACCCAAGTCTCTTAGAAAGTGACACTGGCCCATTTGTCTACTCCGGCTATCTGAAGCGCACCTAAAATGGGTTCAGGAGGATTGTAGGAGTGGATGTACCGTATGCACCTAATCTAAGGGAAAATAATTTGGTGGCTGCATAGGACCCGCATTGGGGTGGGTGGGGGTGGGTCACATGTGGCGTGAAATATGTCAACAACAAAAACAAAACTGGCCTGAAGACCACTTCAAGTTTAAAAAAAATGGTTTTCATTCTTCTGTTTTGTTTGGGTGTTAAACACTGCAGATGGACACTCTGCAACCTTCATAATGAAGGCACCTCTGCCCTTGGAAGAGTAGCGATTTGCCTTTTTTTGGTGAGCAAAAATCAATGGGGGGAGGCAGAGGAGTCTAACAGTGCCTGAGGCCACAAGAAGAGCTTTGGAGACCACATGTGGTCCCAGGGCCGCACTCTGCCCATCCCTGATATAACTCTGTAAGACCCCTCCCCGTTTTGATTCCTTAGTCCCCCAGCAGCAGTATCTGACAATTTTGAGTTTGCTGTCTTATATTCATGAGTCTAGGCATGTCATTATCAGCCCGATATTGTTGACTAGGGAACTGCAGTGTGCTTGCCATGGGGTAGATCCATGGATTTGTCAGCTTATTTCAATAAGCCTGTGTTGTTTCCCCCCAATTTTGAGTTTTCCTTAAGCTTCAGAAATTACAAATGGTCTTTTCCCATGTATTTATCTCCAGGGCTGATAACCACACAGCCTAAACAGAGGCAGATGTTATTTACTTATTATAAACTTGTACAGTATCATTTTAGTTAACCCATATATGGGATTACCTTTGGATTGGCCCTTGTCGCAGCAGCTCAGTCCTGAAAGCCTGTTTATTAGCAGGAGGCCAAAATGACTTGTAGCAACAAAGAGACAGAAGCAATTTGCCGATTGAAATGCACAGTCAACAGTGTGATGTCCTGATTGCGAGAGGGGCCGGGTGTTCTTTGATCACCTTGGATGGAGACATCTGGAAATTATAGGAGGTAGCCTAGGTCAAAATGCCACACATTTCTTTAATTATTTGAATATATGACCCAGTGCTAATGAGGGTAAAACGCTCTCCTATAAAAGTGAGAAGACTTGTTGGAAAACTCAACAAGCATGACTTGCTGTAGAAGCAATTTATGAGCATTTTTAGGTGAGTGAAGTGGAGCAAATCTCCAATCTCACTGACTCTGGATTTATCTTGACTTGGCTATCAAAATACATGCCACAGTTCTACCTTTGAAACCAATATGGGAAGCCCTAAAATTTTGTTCAGTCAAAGCATCAGGCAGAAATCTTTGGAAGAGCATTTACACTTGAACTACTAATTTATGCCGGTGACAAATGCCCTGTTCAACCACAGCCTTGCCTGAAGATTTAGTTATATTTTTCCTTTCATGCTAGTATGATTAGGAATGTTGTGTTAATTCTTGGAACTGTCTTCCACAGCAGCATTAATCAGGCCTTTGAACTTGTCTACATGCATTAACTGGAGCAGACTGAAGTGGGCTAAACAGGATCGCTTAAGGTTGAGTAGAGGTCCAGTATGTAGTTTGGTGTGATACTTGCATCCAAATGGCATAAGCACCTCAAATTATTTTATTTGGCCTGCTTCCCTTAAGGAAAAACAAAAGAAAAAAATCCCCCTCTTTGCCCCCTCTTTTCTCCTGCTCCTTATGGGAGGAAATTTTCAATTATTTTTTTTTCCTAGAACATCAGCACTGTCCTAATAAACTTTTTAAAAGATCCTTTTCGAATGAATGTCCCTCCACAAAGTTGCAGTGGAGGTGTTTAATTTCCCGATATTGTGAAGTGTTTAATTTCTTGATATTGTGAAGTCTTCTTAAACCACTTAATGATATTAGGAAATTGAAAGCAGAAGGAAAATTGAAAGCAAACAAACAAAAATAGAGTGTTCCTACTTGTTATGAATGGGCGGGATAGGCGAGACAACGAACGAACGAACGAATGAACGAACAAACAAACATCAACATATCTCCCCTACTCCGGCTGCCCTGCATTGGCTGCCCATTCATTTCACATTGATTTCAAAATACAAATTATGACATAAAAGCCCTAAATGGTTTAGGACCTCAATATTTGGCAGAACACCTCCTCCCACCTGGATCTACCCGAATCACTATTCAAGATGGGCAGCTGGGGGCCTAACGCTGAGGGAAGCCTGAAGAGAAAGAACAAGAAAATGGGCCTTCTCAGCAGTGGCCCCTTGCCTCTGGAACAATCCCCCCCCCCGATATTTGTCTGGCTCCCTCACTGGGTGTTTTTAAGAGCCAGCTCAAGACCTGGCTCATTAGGCAGGCTATCCCTCCGGCCAATGTCTAATTTGTTTGCTGTTTTCAATTGTATTAATGTTGTTTTATTTTTTATTGTTCTTGAATGTTGTTAGCAGCCCAGAGTAGACTTTGTTCTAGATGGGAGGGATATAAACGAACGAACGAACAAACGAACGAACGAACGAACGAACACACACACACACACACACACACTCACACACAAACACACACACACACACACACACACTAGCCCCTGATAGGGACCCAGAGTGTGAATGCTATGGGGATGGGCTGGTTCACTCTAATTATCTAATCACCAGCAAGAGGAGTGAACCAGTCCATACCTACAGTGGACCAAACAGCTGGATAAATGCCTATCAGACTGCCCCCTTAATCTACAACACAGCTGTTTCTGACCAATGAAAAGTCATTCAGCAAAGTAACCATGCGACAGCAAAACCAATAGGTAGCAGCTTAAAAATTAGCAAATGGCATGCTGTAAGCATTCATCTGACAGGCTCTAGTTCTGAGGTTTGTGATGTACAGTAATAGGTTACACTGCAAGGCTATCTATAGTTTTTGTCTGTTTTAAGATTTACATTTATTTCTTTCATTGTACTCGTTTCTTTGGCATTTGAGTATATACAGTTACCTCTAGTTTTTAATCTATGGCTAACGTATATTTTAAAATATTTGTCTTTTGAACCATGAAAATCTTTTGGAAACTGATCTGATTTTCACAGCTTCCTTTAAGCAGCTTTGGGATTGTAACTGGGGAAGGGTGCCGCCTTTGACAACCTGGTAGCCTCCTTCTGAGGTGGTGGGCTACTATGTCTGTGACAGCCAGCATGACCAGTGGCCAGTTGTCATCCAAGAAGAAAGGCAGGCATGTCTAGGAGATACCCTTTGCCTCAGGCACCATCCTCGCCACCTAAAAGAAGCTTGGGCAGTACAACTCAAGGGTACTAGGTAAAGGTTCCCCTTGAGATTTAGTCCAGTCATCTCCGACTCTAGGGCGCGGTGCTCAACCCCGTTTCCAAGCCATAGAGCCAGTGTTTGTCCGTAGACAAGTCTTGGCCAGCAAGTGGCCAGCACGAATAGACATGAAACACCATTACCTTCCCACCGAGGTGGTACCTATTTATCTACTCACATTTACATGCTTTCGAACTGCTAGGTTGGCAGGAGCTGGGACAAGCGACGGGAGCTCACTCCTTCGCATGGATTCGATCTTACAACGGCTGGTCTTCCGACCTTGCAGCACAGAGGCTTCTGCATTTTAATCCAGAGCACCACCACATCTCAAGAGTGCTACTGCCCATCAAACGAGGCAACACTATATGTGCCCAGTAGTCCTCGGATGGCAGGCCCTATGGCTGTACTATTGGGGATTATGGGAGTTGTATTCCATGAGCTCTGAAAAACACCAAGTTAGGAAAAAAATGCTTCATGAAAAACAAGTTAGATTTAAAAGGAGGATGGAAAAAAACCCTTTCTCTTAATCCAGTGAAGCATGAACTGGAGTGTTTATCCAGATTCCTGCTTGATCACTGCCACCAGACAAACTGAATTCCAAACTGCAGTGTAATAAACTTAAATAACCATGGACTGACTTTTTAAGAAACTCAATAATGTTAGCTATTTAATCATCAGGCATGTAGGCATTTTAATTATTTGTTTAAAAAAGTGCTTTGGGGACTGTCCTGTACCCAGGAGAATTGCAGCAGGCCTAGCCCTTGCTACTGGCACACGGGCAAGAATGGAGCTTGGAGGATGAGCAGTGTGTGGGGAAAAAAATAAAATATATAGCTCATTATCCTATGCTAGGATTCTCACTCTTAGAATAAAGCAGCTTTGAGAATCACAAAAGCATCACATTGAGAGAGTCTTTTAAAAGTCACCTAATCCCACCTCTCCGTGAAAGAATCATGGAACTGCAGTGTTGTCCTGTTGATTGTTCCTGCAGTCTCTACTTAAATACCAGTAGCCAAAGCACTGTTAGAGTTATTTCAACCTTGTATGATGCCTTTAGTAGGTTTGGCTAGAAGGAGCTTTCTGGGCTAGGGTGACTGTCAATCAATCTAGTAGTCACCAATTGTTCCTTCCACGCTTCTGATTTTGCAGAGCACCACGTCTCTCTGCTTAAGTGGCTTTCCCCCTCTTTTTAAAGACTGCTGGCAGTTATGCAATTACTGCAGTTATGTGATTGTAGTCTGCAGGAGTCTTCTGGAAGCAGGCTGTAAGTTTGCTGAGGCCTGTTGTTGTAAGCAGTTATATTTGTGCAGTATGCTGTTTTCACCTATTCAACTGTAAGTAAATGAAAGATTTTATTCTTTTTCTTACCAGTGTCTCAGAATGAATGATTGAGACCTGCACATGCCAGTTGATGAGATGAAAAGGGGTGGTCTACTCTGGGGACACTTGAAGTTAATTCTATTGTATATGTTCCTGAATGTCTGCTGTATTCCTAGAGGTTTTTAAACAAACTTCAAAACTCTGCAACAATTAAACGGTGTGTGTTCAGTGACATGACAGCATTGTTCCTTTGGCCTAATATATATCTTTTTTTCCTCTCAAGAGCTTGGAAAAGTTACATTTTGGAATACAACTGGTGGAAACCTCCAGCCAGCATGGCCAAAAAAGTAATTTTCCCAAGCTGTCACTGTATGTCAGACTGGAGTGTGATGGTGTCACATATCAAATGCAAGAAAATAAATTAAGAATGCCATTTTCTTTGGTTCATTTTTAAAGGGGAGAAGTGATAAATGGAGGATTTGGCCTTGTGCTCGATGGCTCAGCAGATGCAGAAGAACGTGCAAAAATGATGTTGAACTGGGATGTTTCCAATGGAGTAAGAACCTCAGCTTGTTTTGAAAAGCTGCTTTTGGTATTATGTATGCAGATACAAATATAGATATATAGATACACAATGAGATTTTCATTATCCTTAGCAAGACTGTGTGGAATTACTATGACATGTTCTTTACTAGATATTATTTAATGCCTACTACTAGCAGTTTTCATGAGTTCTTCCTGAACCTGTTGCTATTAGGATCTCATCACGCACAGATGGTAGGACTGTAGAACAAGGAATGGACGCGTTCAAGGGAAGGGGAAATCAGGGGCAAAATCCAGACACCACAGCCCAGTCAACCACCAGGAATGGAACTCCTTGCCCCGGGAGACTTGCACAAACATCTTTCTGCCAGACCCCTAAACAGTCTTACTCAAGTTAAAATTAAGAATTAGAAAGATTTCCCTAGATCTATTCTAGTAAGGGGGCAAATACGTAGATGGAAGATACGTTTTGGTTTCATACTCATTTATTTTTTGTTCCGTATGGACAGGTTGCTAGACGCTGTTGGAGTGGCAACAGCAATGCTTATGAAACCATCTGTCAAGCCATGGAGAAAGACGAGAAACTCAAGGTGACCCTTCCACATAAGGTGGTAGAGGACAGCATCGTGGAAAAATCCCTGAGTTGTTAATCTTGACCAGTAGCCGTTTATTCTGCTTTTAGATATTACTGTTTCTCTTTCCCAGAATAAACCCAATTTATGATACAGTACAGTAAACGCATTTTAAAAAATCTTTCAGGTAAGCAGTTCTCCCTCCTCACTCAAAACTTTTAAACAATATTCAATATTCTTTATACTTCAATAGCAATTCAATAGTATTCAATAGCAATTGAAGGCACATCTCTTCATTATGTCCTGTTTAAATTGTGATTACTTTGATGGCTTTATTGTTTAATGTTGTTCTAGTGACATTGTAGAGGAAAAGTAGGACGAAATCCAACCAACAAATATTATAAGCAGTAGAATGAAATTGCTGGGTACCCTTTCTTACCGGTGTAGAAATCCAAGCACAAGTGCTGGAAACGTAAAAGTGACAATACCATTTCCAATGTTGTTGCTGGTTCAGGCATTTTAGATTTTTGACACTGTGATCAAAATTCAGTATTGTTATGGCAAGATCCCAATACCAAGCCTCACCTGCTGTCCTTAGCTGTACCGAACCACCCAGTCCTCAATGACATCCATTGAAAATCCATGGATGAACGTGCGAATGTTGATGTTTTGTCCCCAGCAAAATTTATGTGCAGAATTAGGACAGATAACTCGCTTGCCGTTGTCTTCCAGTAAGGCACATTCTCCTACATTGTGCTTTTTGCCAAACTCTCTGCACAACCCAACATGTATTCACCCATTTCCTTCCAAACCTTTTCCTGTCTTTGCCCATTTATTAGCAAGAGAATATTTGCCATCTCTGCCACATAGAGGCACAATTTTGGAATCACTTCATCATGAAGACATGGAGGGAGAACTTCATCTCATTACATTTTTGCCTCATACTATATATGTTGTGGTTGTGGGAGATCTGGACTGGATGATGATAACTAACTTTTTTTTTCTATAAAAGCTGTATTCCCTCAGAGCACTACTTCCCAAACTTTTTGGCATCACACCTTCACTTCTAAATTTGGAGAAATGCTTCCAGGTCCTACTTTTCCTGTACCTTTAATTTCAACTTCTCAAATTTTAGATTTGTAATGTAAATTTAAATACAGAAGAAATAATAAAAGCATACTTTAAACTAATACAATAGTTTTAATTTGTGTGACAAATTATTTTTTGGGACAAATAACTAATTGTACTCAGTTTCTTAATGGTGACCAAATAAAATAATTTTCCTTATAACAGTAATAAAATTAATGAATAAAAATGGGAAGTTATAATGAATGATTATTTACTACTGTCAATGTATGGATGAATGCTTCCTTATATATGCTCCACCACTACTATGAGAACTAACATATGTACAGCTTTTGAGTTTTCCAGAATGCTTCATCAGACTAGAAAGCAAAATAAACAAAACAAAAGGTTGTGGAATTATAGTTAGTTAGTTCAAAAGGTATTGCCCTATGTGGATTTAGTGCCCTAGGTGGGAAGTTGCTCCCAAAAGATGTCTGAAGTCCCTCGCTGGATGGTGCTGCTTTCTTCAACCTGATCTGATTAATTAATGGGGGGGGGGACATGGTGGTGTTGCGGGTTAAACTGCAAAAGCCTCTGTGCTGCAAGGTCAGAAGACCAGAAGTCATAAGATCAAATCCACGCAACTGAGTGAGCTCCCATCGCTTGTCCCAGCTCCTGCCAATCTAGCAGTTCAAAAGCATGTAAATGCGAGTAGATAAATAGGTACCACTATGGTGGGAAGGTAACGGCATTCCGTGTCTACCTGCGCTGGCCATGTGACCTCAGAAACTGTCTACGGATAAACGCTGGCTCTACGGCTTGAAGATGGGGATGAGCACTGCACCTTGGAGTTGGACGTGACTGGATTAAATGTCGAGGGGAACCTTTACCTATATATTTTAAACCCTATTTTAAAAAAATACAGTACATAAATGTTTCATGCTAAAATCCAGTTCCACTCATGTAAAGAACCAGTGATGTCTACTGGTCATTGGGCTGGGACTTTGGAGATTAAGCTTGGAATCTTTACTCATTAGGCCCTTTGAAAGTTCAGATGAGCCTCACGTCAGGCCCAGGCCATTTCACATTGTGAGTCCCCCCTCATTGTTTGGGAACAAGGGTATAACATATTTCACAGTAAAGAATGGTGGGTAGAAATGTTTTTTTATTTGTATAATGCATGATGGAATAAGTTTATTTAGCTTTTTGTTTAGGCTTTAAGCCAAGGTGAGGTCCAGACCACGTGGCCCTGCTGCCCCCACCCCGACCGCCAGAGGGCCTTTTACTGAGCTACAAAACTGATCAGGTTAGTTTGGCCCTGACTCTCACTTAACCTGATCTATTCACAGGGGTGTGGGGAGTATAACATGGGCCAGAATACCTCTTCTTGAGCTGGATAAAGAAAGAGGTGAAATATAAATGAGAGTGGAAAATACATGACACATAAATGTTGATATTTCATAGGGATGTTTCCATCACTCCTTGCCAAAAAGATCAAGTTCTAAAATAATCACTAAACCCTGTTCTCAAAATTCCTCAAAAGTTTAATCTTCCTCAATTTACTCAAATTTCCTTTGGTGACAATCCATGGAGTTACAGATCCTACTGGACAAACAGAAGGCAGTCATGGCTCTCTTCATTTCTGCTCTTCAACATTTTTCCTTCTACTTTTTAATGTTCTTTTACAAATATCCTCACACCGTCTGTCTCCTCCACACACACCTTCTTCCTCCCTATTTGGAAAGTCTTTATGCCCCGGGGGGGGGCACACACCCCAGTTTGGCAGAGGCCACCTGCTTTGGAGCCACATGCTGGCACCGAGCAAGGTTGAAACTAGTGGAAGTTGGCCCACCTTTCTCTTTCTCTCTGCCATCTCTTTTGCCTCATCTCTCTCTCTCTCATATCTTTCCTCCCTTTCCATTCCCTTTTCTCTCTTCCTCTCTCCCCAATCAGCAATCTTCTAAGAACAGAATGAATATCTTTTGCCAGAGGTCTGAACAAATCACTTACAAATTAAGCAGCAAGGACTTTCCATCAGCTTCAGGGCTGAAAGCTTCCCACGCCACTCCCCCAATCTATTTATTTCTAGTCTCCCAGTATCGTCAGTTTTCCTCAGCACCTCGTCATCTCCATCCATTGAGACTAGAAGAAAATGCCAGGGCTTTGCCCCACCAGTGCCAAATGTTCCTGCAAGAAGTTATGCCCTTTGACACACCAGGTGTTGAGCCACGTCAAGCTGTGATGTGCTGCATCTGACAGCTGGACAGAAAGCAGGAGTGATGCTCAACTGCAGCTGGTCAAACATCTTCAGGTTTACAGAGCTGCTGTGAGTGAGGGTGTTCAGTGATACCATCGTTTTTTTTCTTTAACTTGACAGTTTCCCCAAAATGATGCTTTCTTAACTTAGTACTGGATCATCTCCCATTTTCGGTTTCCATGTATTTGTAATATTTGGATAGGTTTGTGAATGCAAGTACTCCCTGTTTTATTTGCATTTTCACACATCCCGTTTGAATACATCCAAAACTAACCAATTTTAACACCTCACTTAAGAAGCTCTTGGCCATATCAATTTCCTCATGTTCTTCAGAGGAGGAAGGGCTCCTTTTCATCATCTACAGCACACTGGATATTTTATGGTTATCAAATCTTCTTTCAGCTAATCATAACAGCTGTTGAACTTCTCTTTTCCATATATTGCATCATAGCTTGGAATAATGATTTCTCTTAGTTTTGCATTTCCCCCCCAGTATTTCATTTTTAAAAATAGCAACGTCTGTCATTTTGTTTAAAATGAGTATAAAGAATTATACATATATTCATGTGCATATATTAATTTGTGCATAAAGATATGCATAAAGATATGCACATGATACCATTCTGATGGCAGAAAGCAAGGAGAAATTAAAGAGCCTCTTAACGAGGGTGAAAGAGGAGAATGCAAAAAATGGTCTGAAGCTCAACATAAAAAAAAACTAAGATCTTGGCCACTGTGGTCCCAGCACCTCGTGGCAAATAGAACGGGAAGATATGGAGGCAGTGACAGAGTTTACTTTCTTGGGCTCCATGATCACTGCAGATGGTGACAGCAGCCACAAAATTCAAAGGCGCCTGCTTCTTGGGAGGAAAGCGATGAGAAAACCTCGACAGCATCTTAAAAAGCAGAGACATCACTTTGCCAACAAAAGTCCACATAGTCAAAGCTATGGTTTTTCCAGTAGCGATGTATGGAAGTGAGAGCTGGACCATAAAGAAGGCTGACCGCCGAAGAATTGATGCTTTTGAATTGTGGTGCTGGAGGAGGCTCTTGAGAGTCCCCTGGACTGCAAAGAGAACAAACCTATCCATTTTGAAGGAAATCAACCCTGAGTTGGTCACTGGAAGGAAAGATCCTGAAGTTGAAGCTTCAATACTTTGGCCATCTCATGAGAAGAGAAGAATCCTTGGAAAAGACCTTGATGTTAGGAAAGTGTGAAGGCAAGAGGAGAAGGGGATGACTGAGGACGAGATGGATGGACAGTGTCATCAAAGCTACCAACATGAATTTGACCAAACTCTGGGAGGCAATGGAGGACAGGAGGGCTTGGCGTGCTCTGGTCCATGGGGTCACGAAGAGTCGGACAGGACTTAACAACAACAAATATTAATTTGTACAGAAATTTTTCACAATATAAAAACATTTCTATATTATTTTCATGAATATTCCTATTTTGTGCACACTTTCCCTTAATATATACTTTATTATGCACTTATTTATTGAAGAACTACAGCATTACATTCAAAGGAGTGAACTGGGTACACTGGAGATTATCTATTGCATCTGCCTCATGGAATTATCCCGGCTGAAAATTATGAGCACCTCAACATACATAAGTCTCTCTAAGAAATGATTGTGTGGACTGTTCATATCTTTTATGCACCCGTGGAAGAGGACTAGATGGCACGGCTCAACTATATAGTTTTGAGTTCTTTTAGTCCTGCAAATCTTTACAAGGGGTTTTGTTTAATCATTTCTGCTACTGCTCAGGTTATGCTGTTAGTGGATTATTTCATATTAACTAGTCCAGCCTAGCTCACAACAATGATTGGTAAATTTTCATTCTGAACAAAGGGTAGTCTTATGAACATTTTTATACTCTCTTGACATGACATAACAGAGTAGATGTGTGTGAGTACTATTCTTCATGTAGTGTTGGTGGATTAAAACTGCACAGATGAATACATATATATATTCACATATATATATTCACACACACACACACACACACACATATAATGTATGTATGTATATGTATATATATGTATATGTGTGTGTGTATATATGTGTGTGTGTGTGTATATATATTGTGTGTGTGTATATATATGTATATATATGTGTGTATGTATATGTGTGTGTGTATATATATATATATATGTGTGTGTGTGTGTGTGTGTGTATGTATGTATATGTATATGTATATGTATATGTATATGTATATGTATATGTATTCATCTGTGCAGTTTTAATCCAAGCATTCACATGGTTTGTTATTACATCTGAATGATAATAGTTGGAAGGGACCTTACTGATACTTTGTTCATCACTTGCCAGTAGAAGAAACTTATTGCTACAGGATCTCTGGAACAACAAAGTACTGTTCCATCATCTCTGAACAGTTCTTCATCTATGAAGATGGCTGCCATATAATTTCTTAATAATCTATTACCTAGGCTAAACATACTGGATCCCTTCAACCTTATAGTAAAAGGCTGTGGGATAACATCTGCACATTCCTTTAATATCATAGGATGAACTTTGTCAGGCCCCAAGAACCTGAATTCATAAGTGAAGAACTGATCCCTTACCATCTATTTATCTATCTTTGGACTGCACATTCTTTCCTCCATCCTTTGGTCTGCCTTTGACTTGTCGAGCAGAGTTTTCTTCTGTATGCTGCCCTTTCTTCAAAAGCTTAAGGCAGCATAAATGACTCTTTCTTCCGTCCCTTAAATCTTTCCCATAAGCCTGTGGGGTAAGTCATACTGAGAGCGAATGACTGGCCCAAGGTTTAATACAGCAATCCTTGCTCTTAAAAGAGCCTGCCTGCGTCTTTCGCCACCGCTATAAAAGTGAGGCAATGCAAGT